GGGAATCTCAGACACCCCGCTAAGCGGTACCACTGCTCGAATTGCATGGCAAGCGTGAAAGCCTTGATGCAATTGGTGATTGTTTTCGTTTCCAATTAGTTCACTTAACAGAATGCAGTATATACCAAATGTCTACTACAAAGGGCATTGTGAAATCAGAAGGGCAACAATTGACTATTGAGCAAACACACAACTGTGCTCGGCTACTCTTTTTACTATTGAAAGTTTAAGTCCTTGAAGCGACCACCCAACAGAGCCGAGCACAGTCCGTGGGAAATACCCTGTTTCCCTCACCCTGCCCTTCTGATTTCCTCCTTACCTCAGTAGACAAAAGTGACCAGAGATCCCAGTTTTTCGTTTCACCTCAAGTCGTACACATCGGGAGTGTTTCGCCTCAAGAGCCCTCGTACACATCGCAGACTCTGGAGGAGAAGTGTCTCAAAACCCAGCCCGTAATTCTTCACCCTCAAATCAAATCAGTGCTCAAGTGAACTAATTGGAAACCCCACTCAATTAGAATTACGCTACTCAGTCCATTTTAAAAAACGTACTGCCCAGGCCAATTAGAAAAAGTGGCAAAATAAATGTGTCGCCTGTGCAAGTTAAGCAGGCACATTCGAAATTGGCAGATTTTATTTACTCCTGCAACTGCTCTCAACGATACCCACCAAACACTGGCACCCCACATACATTGGTCTTTCGAATAGCAGAAAATTTCCCCCATATACTCGTGTCTAGCATTCCAAATTATTTATTCGAGTGAGACGAGTATATTTGGTCCCAGGAACTGGATTTGACGAATCTCAGGTTAATCTCAGGTTAATCTTAGGCTTAATCTCAGGTTAATTTACAACTTGATCCCCCAACAGTTTGCTTTGCGTTCTCAAAATGTCTAAGTAATTAAGTTTGTTTTTAAAATCTAATAACGTTTTTATATGACAATTTTGCTACGCATTATTAGTTAATTACTGACAATCTAAATTATTTTTTGAAAATGTGTATTTCGGTTCAAATTACAATTAAGTTTTAATAAATTTAACTAAACTTACTTAACTTGAAAACTGTCAGCAGCCGCTGTAAAATTTTTGACAATAAAAACTAAACGATATTTAACTGTCATAGACACAGCCTCCTTTGTTTATGGCACTTTTTATATTCAAACGTTATTAAATAAAAATCCCTTAGTTACGTACTTACACATTTTGAGAACGGCAAATAAAACTATTTTATTTTCTTGTGGGCAAACTAGTGGACTTAGGAAAAAACAACAAGAGATAAAAAAGTAGGTAAATATCGTGCTGATAAAAGTTTAAGTGCATACAAAAAAGTTCTGATCAAAACAAAAGTAGGGGTTCCACATTTCTACCCTGTATAAAAGTAAACAGAACCACAGAACACTACCATAGAATGGCACTCGATCAGATTATCATGTATACCAAAATTGAAGTTTACACGTTTAACCGTTTTAACGAAACACAAAAAAAACTAATATTTTTCGCCATTTTGAAAATCAAATATCTTAACAATGAAACCTCAAATTCAAAAAATTCTCAGGAAAACCCCCTTCTAAAATGACTTGAAGAACATGCTGTTAAACTATTTTAACATATTTACGGAACACCATGTATAAAGGGTGATAGAGAAAAAAAGACTTCTCCATTTTATTAGACCACGGGCCATTACCGAAGACCTAATTGTTTTGATTGTTCTAAATTCTGGTCTATCGAGGGACAATCTGAGTCAAATAAACAAATGAAAAAAATGTCACAGAGTCACAATCAAGTTTTAACCACTGATACGATCTTCAAGAGTTAAACAGTAAGTAAATGATCCATAAAGTAGAGTTACATTTAAAGTAATATTTATTACGAAAATTAAATCGACCTCAATTTTTACGTAACCCATAGATAGGGAGGGTTTAAATCTATCTTAAACTAATATAATACTGGATATTGTAACTTAGTTTAAAATATTGAGCTAATTATCGCCACTGCATATGCGTTATTGTTAAGGGTTTTGTATTGGTTAAGATAACGATGTGGCCACTTTCATGCCTATTCCGGTTTTTTCAGCTGTAGTTCCCTTACTGCGTTTATTTCCCTGCCCTAAATATACATTTTATGCCATGTTGTATCAATATGTTTGGTGAAATATTTAAGGTATTACTAAGGTTTCAGATAACATTAACATAAAATAGTATTACGAACAATATGCGACAATATCATTAGTGGAACGGAAACAATTTATTAGAACCATTTTTTTGGAACATAAATCTTTAATATTTTTATTATATGACAACCCAGTACCCAAGGTGTAGATGCTCTACCGTTAAGCGATAAAATTCACGTCTATGACACCAGCAGTCAACGGGGATACTTTCATTTTAAAGGAGCTGTAGGCATATTTCAACCGTAATATTTCTGTATATTGGAGTGCTTCTATGGTTTTCCAAAATTTCGTACACTCTGATTCTACAATACACCGATCAGTGTTAGAATTAATTTTCTCCAAATTATAAATTATACGTTCGCAAATTTCTCTTACTTTACAAAAATAAATCGTAAATGATTCAAACATCTCATCATCCTTCTTATGTTGTTTTGCGTGGGCGATTGTTCTTTCTATTTTGCGCACACCAAGTTGAAATTCTCCTAGTGTAACTGTTAGCTTATTATGTTTGCATGTCGAGGTTTCTTGAGCGGATACTTCCAATATGCCGTTTTCGTCTAAATGAAACACTACTTCAAAACTGATCTCGCCAGCTTGACCAAGAGGCAAGTCATCTATGGTAAACTCTCCCAGTAGATTATTATATTTGCAGTTTTTTCTCTCTCCTTCGTAAATTGGAAAAACTGCAGATGTTTGATTATTTGTCATAGTGCGGTAACGATTCGGGTTTGATTTTTTAGGAAGCGACGAATTCTTCTCTATCAAAATTTTCATTAAATTTCCACTAACTTCTAATCCCAAAGATAAAGGAGTAGCTTCCTTCACTTGATATTTCTCCAGTTCTTTATATCTATTTCCAAATACTCCTGCTTGAATACTTGCACCAAGAGCAACAGCCTCATCAGGATTCAGGTTGGTACGTATTTTGTTGGAGCCGAACATCGATGTTAATTTTTCTCGAATTCTTGGTATACGAGTGGAACCTCCAACTAGTATTACATCGGTGATACTTCCTGTGGTTAATTCAGCGTCCGCAAGGCACTTTCTGATAATTTCTGCAGATCGCTCAACTGAATTATCAATCAGTTGATTAAATTGTGTCTGGCTCAATTCCAATTTAATCGAATCGTCTTCTGAGTAGTACAAATCAAAAGAATGATCTCGTGCTACCGAAAGTAACTTTTTCAGCTTTTCACAATTACGCTGAATTCGTCGCAGTAATCTTTCATTCACTATGTTTGATTTGTTCTTTAATTTTTCTTTAATTGTTGGCTTAAAGTAATTGACCAACATTTCGTCGAAATCTCTTCCACCTAAAAATGAGTCACCTTCTACACTTTGAACGGCAAACGAATGGCCATTGACTTTAATAATTGATACGTCCAGAGTTCCTCCTCCTAAATCAAATACCAGGAGAGTTGAATCGGTATCGAGTTTATCTTGAGCATAGTGAATGGCAGCTGCTACGGGTTCAGTAATCAATTTAAGTACCTTTAAACCAGCTAGTTTAGCTGCAGCTTTTGTAGCCTTCTTTTGTGCATTACTGAAATAGGCAGGAACTGAAATAACTGCTTCTGTAACCGTCGTTCCTAAATATTCTGAAGCAGATTCTTTCATATTCTTCAGTATTTCAGAACAAATTTCCTCTGGGGATTTTTTCACGATTTCTTTGCCACATCGTAGTTTAATTTCAGTTTGACCATTATTTCCCTCAACTATCTTAAACGGATATTCTTCGGAATTCTTCAGTTTTTGTACGTACACATCATCGTACCTCCTTCCAATAAACCGTTTTATATCTGGAATATAACCGTGTTTTAAATTATCAATCAGTGCGTTTGTGCACGTCATTTTACTACGTTAAAAATCTGCAATGGCTTGCCAATAATGCAATATTAGTTTTTACAAACCATACCGAAAATAAAGTTCTCGGGATTGGTGAGTCCACGTTCTTCGGCAATTTTTCCCACCAATATCTCCGAAATATTGGGATTATAAAATACGCATGATGGTGTTAATTTGTCTCCAAAAGCATTCGGAATCATTTCAGATTTTTCGCCGCGATATATGGCGACTGCCGAAAATGTTGTACCGAGATCTATTCCTATTGGACATGGTAACTGCACCTGAAAGATATAAGAATGTGTCTATATTAAAATATCAATGACATTGTTTCTATTAGAAGTAAGGCAAAATTACGGAACAAAACGCAAGAAATTTCCCCCCTGTAGTGGAATGATTTATTCTTCAAAAAATTAAAATTTGGTACAATTTCGGTTTTTTAAGCATGAAACTTTAATTACATTTCATCTGTAATCATTGAAAACAAAATAATATCGAAGGCATAATTGGCATGTGTTATTATGTATCCCATGAGCACCGCATATTGCAGAAAAAAATTATTATACAAGCCACCAAGAAAAAACTCCGCTAATTATTTTCAAGTTCCGACATTTTCCACCAAAGGGTAAAACTGCAACAATAAATTAACAAAACTCATTGATTGCCGTCTTAGTAGGGTTGAGATAGGATGAAAATACTTTCAGTCGATTTCTAAGAGAATTTAACGTAAATTTCGGAAAGTGTCAGTTATTGTGCGCTGAGTGCCCCTGGAAGGCCCTGATTCGATTATGTCCAATACTTCCTGTACCACTTTCCTCGCCCTTTGTTGGCGTGAGTTCTTTCAGCTTCTGCTATGTTACTGTAGCATTTCCCCTGAACTAATTGCATATCAGCAAATTCGTGAAAGGAAATTCAAAGTATGTCACAGTTTGACAAATTATTGTTATTATTGACGGGGGCTATCCACCTGTAACTATCTGTTAATGACAAAAAACATCATTGCCGCTGTGCCTTTT